CGGTGCGCTGGCACGCCTGGGCGCACGTACAAAGGCCGGCGGTGCAGGGCTGCAGCGAACTGAGGAGGCTTCGGCGGCCGCGGCCCTAGCGGCTGCAGAAGAGCTCGAGGCCAGGGCTGAGTGCTGAGCCGGTGCCTGCCCTGGTCCCCGCGCCCACCCAAGAACGAACGTGCTCTCTAGGTGTCGAGGGCCCACAAAGGGAACAACTGGGTCAGAACGGAATGAGGTTCAGTTCTCATTCTGGAAAACCCTAGCAGCGAACACGGGAAAAGTATAGTTTGGAGAGAACGCAACCAGACCTAAATGATTAGCGTTGTAGCTAGGCGGTTTTTAAGGCGCAAACGCTTTTTTAAAATAAATCTGTTTCGCCACTGTTTAAGATTATTGCATGCTACAAAAATTGACACCTAATGCAGGCTCTTGAAAGTAGGTCAAGGAAAAAGAACACCATTAAGGATTCTAAACTAAAAGAACAAGGATGGCAATAAATACCTCCAGCATTTTCCCCCTTTGGTGCAGCAAACAGCCTTCTAAACCATATTTTTTTTTTACTTGCACCCCGAAAGCAATGAATCCTTGGCATAGAACTGTAGAGGGCTGTGTCTTGTGTGCACCTTTGTAATTCCAGCACTGGATGGAGGCAGGAGATTCAGAAGTTCATCCCTGCCTACATAGTATTTTCTCGGCCCGCCCAGCCCACGCTTTATGAGACCCTAAAACAAACAAAATTTTAACGTGAGGGGGAGGGGAAATAAGAGGTGCTAAGAAAATCAAAGTGCTTAACCATAAATCTCATAATTAAGTTAATAGCAAAGCCAATGTTGGGGATGTGTGACAAAGTCGGTAGAGTGCCCGACTTCCACCGAGGGACCCGGTTCAGTTCACCACACTGCAAAAACCAGGTCAAAGGCACACAGCTCCTTGTTTAATTTAACCACTCCCCAGCTGGAAACAGAAGGCTCAGAAGTTCAGGTAAGCTACGCAGCCAGTTTCAGGCCAGTAAAAACAAACAAAACAAAACAAACAAACAAAAAAACCCCACAACCTAATGCTACTATTAGAGGCAAGAGGAAGATGCCTTTCTTACAACCGAATCCTTTACAAAACAAAAACAAATAGAGATAAGACACCTAGTCTATTTTCTATTATGTTCTGAGTGAGCAATATTTTTTTTTTTTTTTTTAGTTATCTAAAGTAAAAATTCTTCCTGGCTGTTGGCTCAAGCGAAACAGCAGCGAGCAGGAAGCTGAAGTCTTGGGTCTCCTGGTCCAATCCGGCCTGGGCTACACTGTAATACCCTGTCTCAAAAAGTAATTTCTATTGTGTACAGTGGCTTTGACAGGAAAGTTATATAATAAAGTCAGATGTGGCACAACCCTGTAATTCTAGTATTTCGGAGGCAGAGGCAGCAGGGCAGGAAATGGAAAATGTTCTCTAAATACTATGTTGCCTTACTGAATGTTTGTAAATGCAGGTTTTAAATTCACTACATAAGATGAACATGCACAACTAAATCTTTTATGAAAAAAACGGCCGTCAGTGTTACATATTAACAAAACAGAATCTTCTAATGTTAGCTTATGCAGGAAGCCAGGGGAAGCCACATTGAAAGGCTAAGGATTTTCTCCTAGCGGATTTAATTGCAGGGCCCAGGTCTCACAGCCTCAAGGCACGCAGCACCACACCTGGTTCCAGGAAAAGCCGCAAGCAGACACCACCCCGGGAGGGCCAACAACGAAAGGGAAGTACCTGACATTCCAACCATTAGATAAGATTAGATAAGATCACCAGAAGTCCCTGGGGCCTGGTCTCACCTTTTCTCTCCTTTTGCCTAGACCCTAGATAGACTAATGTTAGCCAATCAGGGTCCTGAACCCTAGAAATCCCCTCACCCCAACCTCTACTGTGATAAAAACAATACCCCACTTCTAAGTCAGACAGACTTGATGCTTGAATAAATGCCACGCTTTTACATACAAGACTTATCTCCTAATTGGTTTGTTTTTTGTTTTTTTTTTGGTTTTGCAAGACAGGGTGTCTCTGTAGCTTTGGAGCTTGTCCCAGCACTCGCTCTGTAGACCAGGCTGCCCGGATCTCACAGAGATCCGCCGGCCCCTGCCTCCTGAGTGCTGGGATTAAAGGTGTGTGCCACCACCACCTGGTCTCCTAGTTGATTTTTGAGGGGACGCTGTGATCTGAGCATAACAGTAACAGTTCAAAAGAGTTGAAAAACCAACAATAAAGGCAACCGTTTTGTCTTTGCCTGGTGCCTGTACACACTACCTCCGAGATATCCTGTAGACACTACCTCTGAGATATCCTGTAGCCCCCTTGCTAATGATTTTTAATTTTGCAGTTTGATTTCCCAAGTTATACATTATTCAGGTATTGAAGTGAAATTTCATCAACTTATGCTATTTTAGGATTCCAGTGAAAAACATATATATATATATATATGTGTGTGTGTGTGTGTGTGTGTGTGGCCAGGCAGCAGTGGTGGCACACACCTTTAATCCCAACACTTGGGAGGCAGAGGCAGGTAGATCTCTGTGAGTTCAAGGCCAGCCTGATCTATGGAATGAATTCTAGGACAGCCAAGGCTGCTATGAAAGAAACGCCAGCTTAAAAAAAAAAAAAAAAAAAAAAAAACGATTCCAGGCGGTAGTGGGGTACACACTCGGGAGGCAGAGGCAGGCAGATCTGGTCTACAAGAGCTAGTTCCAGGACAGGTTCCAAAGCTACAGAGAAACCCTGTCTCGAAAAACCAGAAGAAAAAAAGACAAAGGACAAAGACAAAGGAAGAAACAGTATGTGATTAACCAAGGCACTGATAAAGCCAAGGACTATAAAATAGCAAAGATTATTGGTGGTTGTTTTTTCTTCAGTTGTAATGGATTACACCACATTCCATCTACAAGAAGGAAAAAACTGTGTGGATGGAGTGTGGAGAGACATATTCAAAGTGAAGTATGCGTGAATGCTGCTTTTTAAATGATTATGCCGGGCTGAGTGGGTAGCTCAATAGTTCCGTGGTTAGAGCAAATATGCATAAGGCCCTGCTAATGGGGGAGGGGGACCACCTAAAAATGCCATTCCTACCTTTAGGCCGTGATACCCTTACAGCTAAGGTAACTGTGTTAGGGGCTGGAGAGATGGGCTCAGTGGTCCAAAGCATCAGCTGCTTTTCCAGAGAACTAGGGCTGGATTCCCAGCACCAACAGAACTGCTCACAGCTGTCTGGGACTTCAGTTCCACCGTTTCCGCCGTCCACTTCCGGCACCTGTCAAGCACGTAGCGTGGGGGCTTTAAGCAGGCAAAAGACCCGCACATGTACTGGAATGGTAAAGTGATTCTGAGCACTAATACTGTCCTATAAATGCAGCTGTACCCTTCACTTTTTATCTAGTGTCAGTGAATCCCGTCTCCCTACTTCTGTGTCCCTCACTAGATGTATGCAAAAAGTGCCGACTCGAGAAAGGATAAGGTCTGCCGTAGCCGGTGTGCGAAAATTAGAATAGAATAAAAACGATCTCTATCTTGAAGGAACAAGTCCACGGAAGAGTGACTGGTGATCGGAATACCTACAACATAACCAGCGCTCTCTCTGAAAAATGTACATATAATCCGGGTGCAGCGGCAAACACTGATATTCCTGCCACTCAGGATGCAAAAGATGTGGGTTGCAAAGTCACCCTCAGTCACATAGCAGGTTCCAGGCCAGCCTGGGTCACGGGAAATTCTGTTCAAAAAGAGACAGTGCATATGGATTCACCTAAGAACATTAATCTGGCCGGGCGGTGGTGGCGCACGCCTTTAATCCCAGCACTCGGGAGGCAGAGGCAGGCGGATCTCTGTGAGTTCGAGGCCAGCCTGGTCTACAAGAGCTAGTTCCAGGACAGGAACCAAAAGCTACGGAGAAACCCTGTCTCGAAAAATAAAAAAAAAAAAAAAAAAAAAAAAAAAGAACATTAATCTGACGGAAGTGCTTGGGCACAACACCCAACAAATCTCTACACAACTGCAGGCTTAATTTTTTAGGGTTTTTTTTTTTTCGAGACAGTGTCTCCCATTTTTTTAGTTAAATATGAACTAGCCATTTGTGGTGGCTCAAGAATGTAATTCCCACACTTGGGGGCAGGTGGAGCAGTAATTCAAAGGCCATTCTCTGTCTCAAAGATTCCAAGGATCCCTTGACAACCTGGGAGAGCCCAGGGTGTTTCCCACAGAGAAGAATCAACAACCACACTGAATGGAAATGAGGACTTGACACCTCCTAGATGTGGCTGAGAAAGGAGAGATCGTCCAGAGACGTCTCAGAGAGTCCAGACTGAACACGGTCGGTCTGCGGAATAGACCAGGTTATGGGGTGAGGTGGGGCAGAGAGAGGAAACCAAGGGAGCCCCGAGAACCAAGAGCGAACGCCGAGAGCGGAGAAGAGAGCACCTAGCCCAAATAGCTGAGTCAGATTGGAATCAGAAACCGGAGGAAGAAAAGCAATGCCCTAAGGCTGGAGAGGTTTTACGGTAAGGCTCAGGGAGGGGGTGTGTGCGAAGCGCTGAGAGAAGCCAGGACTCAGCAACAGGTACTGGCAATGCCAAGAGAACCTAGCGGTTCTGCCTTGACATGTTAAATAGGCACCTCGGTTATCCATGCGCTCTGGGTATCTTTGGGACCTAACCTACACAACTTCTGTGGCCCTAATCTTCATAAGTACCAAACTGTCCGTTCATAGATATCTCTCTCTCTCTCTCTCTCTCTCTCTCTCTCTCTCTCTCTCTCTCTCTCACCCTTCTCTATCCACAGGCTCCTAGGAGAAATTGGAGACCTATTCCATAAAGTGACAAGCCCCTAGGACCACAAGATTTCTGGGAACGGTACCACGATCCTTCGACACCGGGGCGTGGTGTCACAAGGGCCTCCGCTCCGTAGCGCAGCGCCCCAGCCACCAGTTACACTTCCGGCACTTGGGCGGAGCTGCCGTGCTTCCGGGTCGCGCCAGCTCCCGGGTCGCACGGTCTGCAGCCCAGGTCTTGCGCACGCTCTTGAGGAATTCTTCGACTGCAGGGCCCGCAGGTGGGTGGCGGGATGTCTGGTGTCTGCTGCCCGCAGGCGGTGCAGGTCACCCCGCTCCGGCCGCCGCCACGCTGCTCCCAGACCCCGTCTGCACCTCGCAGCCCGCAGCGCTTGGGTCGGCGCTCCGCGACTCGAGCCGGAGCAGCTTTCCACGCCGCAGCGCTGAGGGTGGAAACGCCCGATGGCCGCGGGGCATGGCCTCCAGAACCAGGAGTGGCAGCCCCGGGCTGTGCGCTGAGGACTCGGCGGCTGGGGGTGCAGGACTTGACCTGCTTTCTACGTAGCGCTGGGAGGCACCTAGACTGATGGGCGGGCAGTCTTGTGAAAGCGGGGATTGGCGTCTGTCTGGAGTGGATCCACATCTGGAGAGCTATTGCTGAGACCACCGACCCGTCTGTTGGAAACAACGCACTTTTCCAGGGAAGACATTTTCTCTGAGAGGCAGAGCAACAGAATCAAATAAAAGTGCTGAAAACGTAAGCCATGCACTGGTCCGCTTACAGAGATAATTCCAAAGAACCGGAAACACAAAGCTTACCTGTAAAAGGGCTAACTTTAGCCCTTAGGTTCTTTTCATTGGTAGAAACAGAGGGAAGCTGATTTTATTATCTATCTGGGTTTTATAAATTTTTTTCCTTATGAAGGAAAGTCAAATGGAAAATGAAAGTAACGATATTTTAAGGACAAAAAAGTGGTGTCTTTGAAATAGTCTCACTTTGTAGCCCATGCTTGACTTGAACTCTGGGAGAAAAAAATATTTTTTTCTTTTCCTTTACAGTCCTTCACCATAACATTCGTTTAGTGCAGACTGATGAGCAAACCCAGTGCTTTGTACACGCACGGCAAGCTCCCCATCAACTAAGCCACAGCCTAATCGTTCTACTTCTTAACCAAAATGAAAGTCATCATAAAACAAAGCAAAACAAAACCTTGGAAGCAAGCTCTATCGAGTATCTTCGAATTGGTGCACACCATTTCCTCAAAGAAGCAAAGAGAAATCTAGGAAACATTTTCCCATATTTTCTTTTCCCTCCACCCTCCTCTCCCCACCCCCCTGCTTCGTACATATGCCCTATTACTATGAGTGACACTCGCAACCTTCTAGTTCTAAATTCTAATCGCTGTACCTCATCGGGAATATATAATATCACCGCTGTAGCATTTGGGTGTTGAAAAATAGTAATGATGAGGTGAAAAGAACTTAGATATGCACAGGTCTCTTCCCATTTTTGGACCTCAATTTATAGAATTTTGTTGATTTTCATGAATCATCTAATTGATAACGTTTTGAGCATTACTGCTCTAAGCATATATTGAACAAGGAATATCCCCAACAAGAACCCTCTATCACACTTCTTGTATTATTTTACATTATGGGTGTTTTACCTGCATATATGCACACATACACATATGTATATAAAAATATATCTGTGTATCGTGGAGGCAGGGGTAGCGTGCAGTGGCCAGAAGAGGGCATCAGATCTGTTGGAAGTGGAGTTACAAGAGGCTGTGAATGGCTTTTAGACACAAAGCAAATAAAAACCAGCCTACATTTCATAATCCCAGAGAACCTAGACAACAAAGAGGCCCCTAAAAGAGACATACATATATCTAATCTACATCTGAAGTAGAAAAAGACAAGATCTCCTAAGTAAATTAGAAGCTGGGTATCATGGGTGAAGGTAGAAGGGGAAGGGAGAGAAGGGAAGGGGAGCGGAGAAAAATATATAGCTCAATAAAAACAATTTAAAAAGCCCGGCGGTGGTGGCACACGCCTTTAATCCCATCACTCGGGAGGCAGAGGCAGGAGGATCTCTGGGAGTTCGAGGCCAGCTTGGTCTACAAGAGCTAGTTCCAGGACAGGCACCAAAAGCTACAGAGAAACCCTGCCTCAAAAACAAAACAAAACAAAACAAATTTAAAAAAAGAGAGGCTGTGAATGCAATGTGGGTGCAGGGAGTCCACCCCAGGGAGAGCAGCCCGTGCTCTTGGGTGCTGAGCCCTCTCTCCAGGCCTCATGCTTCTTTTTCTTCTTTCATTTTGCTTCTTGAAATAGAATCTTACTTTGTAGTGCTGGCTGGCCAGGAACTTTCCACATAGAACATGTTAGCTTGAAACGCAGTGATGCTCCTGACTCTGCTTCTGGTGTGCTAGGATCACAAGCATGGTCCGCCCACCTTTACGAAATGGCCTCTTACTTTCTGTCCTTCTCCAATTCTCCTCCTGTTGAATCCCAGTTACAACCAGGGCTGTTCTGGTGGGTGAAAAAAATGTGGGTTCAGTTATCTGCAATCAGAGTAAAGTTGGCTTGTTTTTTCTTCTTCCTCTTAGGTTCCTCTCCTTTGAGTAACAACTCTGCAAGGCAGGGTAGCTTTGATGGACTACACATCATGGTTTCACTTGAGCCAGCCAGTTTCCTTTTATAGTTACTCAACTATAGGCGAGCCCCATTCACAAACCTGTAAGCCCTTTAATAGTAGAAACTGTGTTTTGTGTCCAGTCTACTTTCTAGAATATCATTTGGCAATGACAATGTGCTTCGTAGTTAATATATATTCACTGGAATGAGTCTAAGCCAGTTTGTATTGACAGTAGCCTGTCATACTTGTCCTCATTATTGTAAAACGTTTTAGATTCTGTAGAAAGAAGATACTCCCTTTAAACCTCAGGATCTTTCTACAGATGTCTGTAAAATATTTAGGAGACTACATTTTATCCATAAAATGTTCTAAAATAATAAAAATAATACGCTGTGCTAGGGCTGTAGCCTAGCAAGAACACAGCCATGGGTTGGATCCGCAGTCACTGAAAACCAAACACAAGCTACAAGCAGAAGCATTTTTAGCAGATAAGATAGCTGCTCACTTTAGGGTATAGGAGCTTCATTCCTCCGCAAGAACAGCAAATGCCCTTGGCTGCATGTCTAACACAGAGTCTCACACCGTAGGAACTGACTATGTAGCTCATTCTAAAGAATGACGTCTTTATCTGTGTGTGTTTTGTGTGTGTGTGTATGTGTGTGTGTGTGTGTGTGTGTGTGTGTTGTGCTCACAGATGCCAGAAGTCGCAGGATTCCCTGGAGATGGAGTTTCTGATGGATCTGAGGTACCTGACATGGGTGTTAGGAACTGAACTTGTCCTCTGCAAGAACAGGAAACCCCCTTGGCTGATGATTCATCTCTCCAACCCATGACCTCATTTTTTAAGGCACCACAGTCAAATAGAGCTGAATCTCTCAGGCCTGGAGTTAATTAAGTGTCGGGGATTGATTAAACCATTTGCCCCATTTTCTAATTCCTTATTTGTATTGCATGTCGTGATATTTCTTCCAATCTAAGTTGTTGGGACAGATTGAAATGTGTATATAAAAGTACTTAATAGATGCCGGTGGTTCTTATCACGTGATGCTTGTTCAAAGCAGTCCCTTTCACCATGGTAACCACTAACCTGCTTTTCTAACGTTGAATCATGCTCACGCTCATACTTTCTTTCCAGTTAAGTGTTCTATACAAGGTTCACATCTTCAAAATGATTTTTACTTTCTAGCTTGTCTTATAGTTGTTTACTTAATTTCTCTGTCTTAGAAACAGTTCTTAAATAATCTATTTACATGTTCCTTCAAAATAGGTTAAGTGAAAATGGAGGAAAACCATTATCTCATGTTCAAGGGCTGGCCAGACCCTAGAAATCAGTGTATGAAATACCAAATATAAGTCTTTTTCATCAAATAAAGAAAGACTTGTGTATAGGATAAGGAATTCAAATCTTTTACAGCCCCTTCCACAACCTTGTAACACTATACAAATATTTCAGTCTCCCCACACCCTCTAAAACCTTTAGCCCCACCAGGGTCCACTGCTGTATTCCAGGAATTTGATGGCCTAGAGTAGTGATCCCTTCCCCCTTTCTTAATTTTCCGTGCACCAATTCTTTTCAGGACAGCTAATTTGAAGTAAGTCTGTGAGGTCAGACCCCAGCAAATGGAGAAAAGACACAGTCACTGCCTGAGTTAGAATAAAAATCAAGTGCACTTCCTGGCTCAGTGTGTTTGTTCTTCTCAGAGTAAAGTTTGCCAGACCCTTTTGTTGAATTAGTGGTCTCTTTCTTTGCAACTTCAAATGCATATTTTTTAAGGGCAGGTGTTAATTTATTCTTCTTTCATGTATTACATCCCAACAGCAGTTTCCCCTCTTTCCACCCCTCCCAATTCCCCTCTTCGCCTCCCTTCTTCCCAATATTCACTCCTCTATTTCCTGAACAGCCAATAGCCGGCAAAGAAAGGATGGGGGAGGGGGGGCTGGCAGGCAGAAAGGATAAATAGGAGGAGAAATCTAGGCTAGAATAGAACGGTAGAAATAAGAGAGGAGAGAATGAGGGAGACACCAGGGGCCAGAAGCCAGACATACAGACAGCAGGAAAATAAGATATACAGACACAAGACAAAACGTAGATAAAGAGAACTAGGTTAAGATAAAAGAATGAGATAGAAATGAGATTAAGAAGAAGAAGAAGAAAGATATGAGTCTAAGTTAGGCCAAGCACCAATAATTAATAAGAAGTCTCCATGTCATGATTTGGGAGCTGGTTGGTGGCCCCAAAGAAAAAGCCTGGTACCCTCTTATTCAGGATAGGTGAGGCAATCCAATAGGAGGATAAGGATCCCAAGAGCAGACCAAAGAGTCTGACACCCCCATTCCTACTGTTAGGAGTTCCACAAGAACGCCAAGCTACACAACCGGAACGTATATGCAAAAGACCTAGGTCAGACCCTCACAGGCTCCCTGATTGCTCTTTCTGTCCCTTTGAGCCCCTATGAACCCTGCTTACTTGACTCTGTGGGCTGTGTTCTCCTGGTGTCCTAGATTCCTCTGGCTTCTGCAATCCTTCCGCCCCACTTCTACGGGGATCCTCTGGCTCCACCTAATGTCTGGCCCTGGGTCTGCATCTGCTCCCATCAGTGGCTAGATGAAGCATCTCTTATGATGATTGGACTAGACTCC